CCACGGTCACGCGGTGACCACGTGGCGGGCATGCGAGTTTACGCGCTCTAGAGTTGGTGCCCTCGGCCACCGCCCAAACCTCGACGTATCGCCACGAAACCATGTATTTATGATTAAATAGGTACTTATGTACCTAGAAATGATTTTTGGAAAAAATAAATAGCAAACTATAAGGCAGCTGCAGTTCAAATTTGACCCGCTTCCATCTGAATCGACAGAAATTTGTCTTTTTCACGAGAGGTGGATCAAAAATTTCTACACCCAACCATTTTGTCAATTGTGCATTAAATATGACCTAGTATTTTAGAAGATTGATTTGGTCCAATTTTGCAACAATTATTTGGGAGATCCTTCACAAAAAACCCCTCCTTTTGGGCACTCGAAAAATGGAAAATGGTTTTTTCGTCCAAAGAAAATGAAAACTTTCTTAGGCAACATTGTTTTCCATTCCAATATGGACCCTTGTGCACAGTATGAGATCATTTGAACAAACTATGCCATGAATGTGGCCATAAGATTGATCATTTGGCTTGAAAGGCATTGATCTCCACAGGTGATAGCTCATTTCTGAGAACACTTTTTTAAAATAATTGTCGTACTACAAGTTTTTTATTTTTCTTGGGAACTTGGCCACATATAATGACACAATGCAAAGGTTTCCCAATTGTTGATATTTTTTTTGAATTTTTTATGCCCATTTCAAAATGCGGTCAAAACGGCGGGAATGCCCATTCCTAGCTAGTGGTTGAATCTTGGAATTTTTTGGTGTTTCTCTGATTAAATAGGTACTTATGTACCTAGAAATGATTTTTGGATAAAATAAATAGAAACTATGAGACAGCTGCTGTTCAAATTTCACCCGTTTCCAACTAAATTGGCGGAAATTTGTCTTTTTCATGAGAGGTGGATCAAAACTTTTTACACACAACCATTTTGTCAATTGTGCATTAAATATGACCTAGTATTTTAGAAAATTTATTTGATCCAATTTTGCAACAATTATTTGGGAGGTCCTTCACAAAAAAACCTCCTTTTTGGCACTTGAGAAATGGAAAATGGTTTTTTCGTCCAAAGAAAATGAAAACTTCTTTAGGCAACATTGTTTGTCATTCCAATATGCACCCTTGTGCACAATATGAGATCATTTGAACAAACTATGCCATAAATGTGGCCATAAGATTGATCATTTAGCTTGAAAGCCATTGATCTCCACACGTGATAGCTTGTTTTTAAGAACACTTTTTTAAAATAATTGCCGTATTACAAATTTTTTATTTTTCCTGGGAACTTGGCCACATATAATGACACAATGCGAAGGTTTCCCAATTTTTTGATTTTTTTCAATTTTTTATGCCCGTTTCAAAATGCGGTCAAAACAGCGGGAATGGCCGTTCCTAGCTAGTGGTTGAATCTTGGAATTTTTTTGGTGTTTCTCTGATTAAATAGGTACTTATGTACCTAGAAATGATTTTTGATAAAAAATAAATAGCAAACTATGAGGCAGCTGCAGTTCAAATTTGACCCACTTCCAACTAAATCGACGGAAATTTGTCTTTTTCAGGAGAGGTGGATCAAAAGTTTTTACACCCAACCATTTTGTTAATTGTGCATTAAATATGTCCTAGCATTTTAGAAAATTGATTTGGTCCAATTTTGCAACAATTATTTGGGAGGTCCTTCACAAAAAAACCTCATTTTGGGCACTCGAAAAATGGAAAATGGTTTTTTCGTCCAAAGAAAATGAAAACTTCCTTAGGCAACATTGTTTGCCATTCCAATATGCACCCTTGTGCACAATATGAGATTATTTGAATAAACTATGCCATGAATGTGGCCATAAGATTGATCATTTGACTTGAAAGGCATTGATCTCCACACGTGATAGCTCGTTTCTGAGAACACTTTTTTAAAATAATTGCCGTATTACAAATTTGTTATTTTTCCTGGAAACTTGGCCACATATAATGACACAATGCGAAGGTTTCCCAATTTTTTGGTTTTTTTTGAATTTTTTATGCCCGTTTCAAAATGCGATCAAAACGGCGGGAATGACCGTTCCTAGCTAGTGGTTGAATCTTGGAATTTTTTGGTGTTTCTCTGATTAAATAGGTACTTATGTACCTAGAAATGATTTTTGAAAAAAATAAATAGCAAACTATGAGGCAACTGCAGTTCAAATTTGACCCGCTTCCAGCTGAATCGGCGGAAATTTGTCTTTTTCAGGAGAGGTGGATCAAAAGTTTTTACACCCAACCATTTTGTTAATTATGCATTAAATATGTCCTAGCATTTTAGCAAATTGATTTGGTCCAATTTTACAACAATTATTTGGGAGGTCCTTCACAAAAAAACCTCATTTTAGGCACTCGAAAAATGGAAAATGGTTTTTTCGTCCAAAGCAAATGAAAACTTTCTTAGGCAACATTGTTTGCCATTCCAATATGCACCCTTGTGCACAATATGAGATTATTTGAACAAACTATGCCATGAATGTGGCCATAAGATTGATCATTTGGCTTGAAAGCCATTGATCTCCACACGTGATAGCTCGTTTCTGAGAACACTTTTTAAAAATAATTGCCGTATTACAAGTTTGTTATTTTTTCTGGTAACTTAGCTACATATAATGACACAATGCGAAGGTTTCCCAATTTTTTTGAATTTTTTATCCCCGTTTCAAAATGCGGTCAAAACGGCGGGAATGACCGTTCCTAGATAGTGGTTGAATCTTGAAATTTTTTTGGTGTTTCTATGCTTAAATAGATACTTATGTACCTAGAAATGATTTTTGAAAAAAATAAATAGCAAACTATAAGGCAGCTGCAGTTCAAATTTGACCCGTTTCCAACTAGATTGGCGGAAATTTGTCTTTTTCACCAGAGGTTGATCGAAACTTTTGACAGCCAACCATTTGATCAATTGTGTATTAAACATGGCCTAATATTTTAGAAAATTGATTTGGTCCAATTTTACAACAAATATATGGTAGGTCCTTCACGAAAAAACTTATTTTGGGCACTAAAAAAAATGGAAAATATTTTTTTTCCAAAAACTCATTTCTCACGACACCTTTTAAAAGTTATTTATCTTATTTCTTGTTTGTTATTTTTCCTGAAAACTTGTTCACATTTAGTGACATAATGAGAAGGTTTTGCATTTTCTTTTTGAATTTTTCAGGTCATAAAATAATTGACTTGATTTTAACACGTTAATTTTAGGCAACTATGACCTATTTAAATGGTCAATAACATCACACTACATCCTGATTAGTCTGTGGACATCTCACACGGATCACGCATCCTACGTCGTCGGATGCTCGCGGATCCAACAGCCATCCTCAACCCTTCCACACCAACCCTGAAACCCTAACAGGTCATTTTCAATCCACCCCCCTGCCTCCTTTCTTTCCCACATCCATCCATCGATCCCCTTCCATCCCCTCGCTCAGCTTCAGTCTTCTGTCATCGTCCTCCCCATCTCACATCTGCATCGCGCCGCCCCTCCTCCCAAATCCCGTCCGGCGCCGCCGCACCCCACACCCGCTGCTGCCCCCACTCCTCTAGTGCCATCTCCCTCCTCATCGAGGGCCGATACCTCATCGTCCAGCCACTCTAGCGCCGCCTCCCTCCCCATCGACCAGCGCCTCATTGGCCGTCCAGTGCAGCCACCATGCCTCCAACGCCAGTCTCCCACCCCACCGAGCGCCGAGCCCTCGCCACCCAGCACCGCCCACCTCCCCATCAAGCACCTCCCCATCAAGCACCGCCGAGATTCTGGGAGAGACCCCCGCCGCGATGCCGAGAAGGTGGCAGGTCTGGGGCCGGCCTGACGGTAGCCAAGTCTGGGTCCCCGCCCCCGACCCCGACGCGCCGCCCCCGCCGCCGCCCGCCGCCGCCCCGCCTCTTCCTCCACCGGGGCGCGCCGCGGGGACAGCCGCCGCTTCATTCGAGGAAGCGCTGGTCAAAGGTACCCCCCCATCGTGCTCTCATATCAGCGTGGATTCCTTCCTAAAAATGGTGGTGGATACTGACTTGACTGGCCCCTCTCCCGCGTTGTCGTTTCTCCGATCCGAAACCCTAGGCCGGGGTGCTGCCGACGGATGCCGTGTCGAGTCCATGGCCAACCACCTCGTCCAAGGTACGGCCTCCTCCCTTCACCTCTTCTATTTGGTCCTTGTCTGTGTGAGCACGCGTGTGCCCCTACCTGCATCCTCAACTATTGAAATGGCTGCGCGCGTGCTCAAGCATCTCTAACCGATCCCTATATGGCCTCTTATCTTTAACTCCTCAAATTTGCTCCTCTATAAATTAGTGGTTCCTAGCTGAATCCTTAAACTTAACTCCTTAAAGAATTAAACACAAATTCATGTTAATTTGATTCAAACTAGTCCATCAAACATGATTTGAACTCGATTCAGACTAGTAGCATAAACTATATTACTACATAAATTTAAATGAGATCTAAACTAAAATTGCATAAAAACTAGAACATGTTGTAGTGTCCCTTGCTGTCAAAAACTCGGTGGTGGTGAAATGATGGTGATAGGATTTGTTTTCGGCTTGATGGGCATAGTCTGCACTCTAGAATGCTACACCGTTGAAGTGTAAATGAATTGTGCAAAAAAAATTGTTGTCTTCTATTTTACTGGTGTCTATTCTTATCATGTATAATTTCCATTTAGTACAGAAGGATGCAGGCTTGGAATTCTATCGTTTGATTAAATGAATAAAAACCTGAAGGAGATCTAGATTCTCAGTAGAATCACATAGTTGTAATTACCCGAGGTGTGCTTGAATAAAATGGCGCTCATTTGCATCATTGTATTTCTGAAGAGTTTTAAGAAGAATTCTGGTACGAACGCACTGACCTATACTTGTACATGTGCAGCCGAGGAACCTCCTGTGGGCTACTTCCAAGCATGATGTGTACGTGATGCAGAACTATTCTGTGAGGCACTGGTGGTCCTTACTCCAGAGAGGAAAAGAATTGCTCAACGTGGCATGCCCAAATCAGGTGATCTACCACAGAGCGATGTGATAGTCCAATTCATCGGAATGCCGGTCAATCTCTAATCCACTATGCGACCACACTGTGCAGGATATGCAGGGAGGTCGGCCCTTGTGCAGGGTGAAAATCAGCACCATGACAGTGAAAGACAACCTCCTGGCGGCTGGTGGTTTCCATGGGGAGCAGATCTGCAATGTAAGGAAGCTGGAGTAGGCACGCAGTGCACACACAAAGCATTTTTTCTGCTTGAGAACATGTAGAAATGTAGAGTTGTAGCTTGACACTTAGGTATTTATTATTTTGTTAGTACCTTGGCAGTGAATTCTAGCAGCGAAGCCTCTTCATTTCGAGCAGCGATAGCCTGATTGGTAAACTAGTGCTTTGTGTGTGCTAGTACCTCACAATGTCATCCTTGTATATGCACAGATGAAATTATTCACCCCGCCATTTTCACTGTTTCCTAATCGAGTACAACAAACCTCCTATTGTTTTTTGTGCAAAATAAGTGTGAAACATTGTAGTGCTGACCCAACATGTACCTAACATTTCTGATGTGTATTTCCTTTGATTCCCTAGGCTTAACCTGTAAGCTATAATAACTTTTAATCGGTCTGTGGGAAATTGGGCATATTGGGTTGGTAAATATAGAACTGTAGAGATGTAGAACTAAAGCGTGGTCCTTAGCTATTTAAGTTGATTGTACTTGGTAGTACCTACACAGTGAAGTCTAGTTGATTCAGGAAAACTTGACTTGAGATTTTCTTTCTTATGATTTACTGATGAAACCTTAATTGTTGAATCTTGATGTAGGCATCCCACCGCCGATCCATATCCAGATCAGCTGCGTCGCCGGTGCCGGTTCTACACATAGGTCAACATGCCCTGTTTATATGAATTGTTTTGTATCTAGCGACTAGTTGTCACACTGATTAAAATCTCCGCGCAACGAGCAAGTAATCAGTGGCCGTGAAGCAACGTTTATAATATTTGTATTCTACCATGCAAAGATGTAATACTTGACTGCTCGCTAGCAAGATTTCAATCATAATCTGTGCATACTTGTTTATGATATTTGTGTGCCCATGTAAAACGTATGCGGTTCGTCCTAGGCTAGATCCCAACCCGCGTTAGAGCTGCATACTATGACTTCCTCTTGCCAGTGAGATCTATTCGTACTTGTTAGTAGTCGATGGGACGCTCAAGCTTCACTGCTGCTTCTGCTGTATATTTTTTGTAACCCATGTTTCTACTTGCAATCAGCATACAATTTTGCGTCAAATGGTTAAATGATTCCACATTCTGTAGGATTAGGGCATCCTGTTGCTTGTTGCTAGCTGTAGGATCTGACTTTTGGTTGTTGTTTTGGAGATGTAGGCCAGGGGAAATGACTACCATTCCAGGGTCTCCGGTCTGGGAGCTCGTGAAGAAGAACAACTACTTCTTGATCAAGCAGTTCGGCAACAACACCAAGGTGCAGTTCAGCAAGGAGCCCAACAACCTCTACAATGTCCACTCCTACAAGTTCTCGGGTCCGTAGCTGTTTGCACTGTTTTTAACCCTTTTGATTGCAAGTGTCTCTGCAAGGAGCTAACTTGCTGTGGGGCTGATGTGGTTTCAGGCTTGGCGAACAGCAAGACCGTGGCGGTCCAGCCATCAGCGGGAGAGGACAAGGCTGTTGTCCTATCCACGACCAAGACCAAGAAGCAGAACACCCCTGCCAAGCTCCAGCACAAGACTCTGATGCGCAAGGAGTTCCACAAGATGACCAAGTCTGTCAAGAACCAAGTATTAACTCCAGAGTTTTGTACTTGAATTGCCCTTATGCTTGGCTTCTAAGCTACAACTGTAAGTCATGGCTTGTCTCTACTTCCTCCTTGAGTTCAGAGTTGTGGCATGGCATGCTTGATTTTTTGGTGGACTTGTGTCCTTGACGATGCACCGTTGTTTCACTACCAACCATCAGATGCAGTAGCTGCTCCTGCTTGCTACTCCGCTGCCGCCGCCCGTTGTTTTGCTACTACTCCTGCTAGTTAGTCACTGCTGCTGCTCCTAAGCACTGCTCGTAGATGCTGCTACTTGCCGCTGTTGATTCCTCCTACAGCCTGGCATCTGCCATTGTAACTTCATGCTGATGTAACATGTGAATCTGTTGGTCCTGCTTATTGTCTTTAAAGAAGTCAATGTACCTACCTTATTTTGTGCTCTGTTATTATCTTTGATCAGTATCAGTTGTGTCTCTTAGAGAGACACTCCTACCTTTTCTGACTTGAGTTGTTAACTATTGTTCCATACTTCTGTTAGCTACAACAAAATCTTTGAATTTGGTACTGCATGAGTTTTATGTGTTCTGGTATATTTGATGGATGGATGGATGGGTTTATGTGTTCTGCTGGTATATATGCACGCTAGTATATATGCACACGGATTGGCCTTCATTATTTTGTATCTACTGTTAGATATATGCTGTTAGATTTGCTTTCATTTTGTACCTAACCATTTTGTTCTCTAACGTGCAGATGCTGGCGTTTCATGTTTCGTCGCGAGCATCAAGACGAAGAAGTCGGAAGAAGCATAGTTCAAGCTCATCGGAGCTAGTTCAAGGAGTAATGAAGCCCTTGATGCTGATCCCTATTGGAACAAATTGAAGCACGAACTGTGACATATAGGGCTTGTTATACAGTAGAGCTTGATGCTCATCGGCTCATGTGACATATTGTGCACCTATTGAGCTTGTTATACTATGATCACATTTGTATGTGTTGATGTAACAGATTGTTGCTTCTTGTTATTTGAAGTATTACACCTGTTTTCTGTCTATTTTGATTTAAATATTGGTTGTTTAATTATTGGCATATTGAAATCTAAGGAACATGACCACGACAACAAGGACCCACTAACCAGAAACGGACATTTGGGACCCGCTTATCAGAATTTGACAATTGAGACCCATTTGAAAAAGGAAAAAGAAGGGACACAACCCAAAAATAAAAAGGCCGAATTATAGGGCCTGGCCCGTGTAGCTTACCCAAATTGAAAGAAAAAAAACAACAAATGGGTTGAATTAATAGGCTCGACCCATATAAACATCCAATTGGACATGGCCGATTCTAATTTTTGACCTTTTCAATTGGTCGCAATTTTGCCACGTCAGATTGCCACGTCGGATCCGACGTGGCTTGGGTAGACAGCCAATGACCAAAACAAAAGGTTATGAGTTCAACGACCTTCTGAGAGAAGGGCGTTAATTTTAGTTTACGACCGCCAGCTTTTGACCTTCTGTTTTTGTCACAAAAAGGTTGCAAATGAAAAACTATGACCTTTCAGCGGCCAATAGTGAGGGTCACAAGTTGACATATTTCTTGTAGTGCTGCTACTGCTTAGAGTTGAGTCAGGTCTGATTCATCGGGGATGAATTGGAATGGTGATGAACATGTCCTACTGTGTGTGAGCTAAGTGTGTGAACACGATTTGGTAAAGGTAGCGGTGAGAGGCCATGTAGGAGTACATGGTGGGTTGTCTCATTGCAGCCGTCCTCGGGAACTGAGTTATGTGTTTGTGATCCATGAACAGTTACTACCACACATTGGGTTCCGGTAACTCGACCCCTCTCGACTTATTGATCAACTCGATCTCTGTCCAGGAGTTGCAACTAGTTTCTGATGTTTGTAGGTAGTGTTAGTAGTCTACCAAGTGGCACCCGGTACAGGTGGGCTTGGGACAGACTAGGCACAGTGGCACGGTGTACCAAGTGGCACCCGGATGGTGGGCTTGGGAACCCTGCTCACATCGCTTGGGGCTGTGAGCGACACCCCGGCCGGATCTCCTTGCGGATGGAACCCGAATAGGCGATAAACTTGGACTAGAGACTTGTGTGGTTAGTCAGGTTGTGGCCAACTCCCTCGTCAGGCTTCCGCTTGAAGGTTGCCGAGATACACGGCGTGTACATGGTGGTAAGTGGCGAGAGCATGTGTGAAGAAGTACACCCCTGCAGGGTTATCATTATCTATTCGAATAGCCGGATTCCTCGGATATGGAAACTTGGACCCCTTGCATAGTTCATAGACAAGTGAAAGTGGATACTCTAAAATGCGCAAGATAAGCGTGAGTGCTATGGATGGCATTCTCGTAGGGAGACGGAAGCGGATCCATAGTGGTGTATTGATATGGTGAATATGTGGACTCGTCTGCGCCACCTCAAAAGAGTTACTTGCAGTCATAGTTTAGGATAGCCACTGAGTCAAAACTGGCTTGCTGCAGTCAAACTCCAGCACCCCTTTGTTGATACCGATGCATATGTAGTTAGTTCTGATGTAAGCCTTGCTGGGTACATTTGTACTCACGTTTGCTTATTTTATATTTTTGCAGAGAGATTTCAGTCTCGCTAGTAGTTCCGTGTGGACTTCGACGTTTAGCTTGATACCTCAGCTACGATCTTGTGCCCTCGGCAGGATCTGGTAGATAGTCAGGCTTCTCAGCCTTTTTCATTTGTAGAAGTCTGTACTCAGACATGTTAAGCCTCCGCATGTGCTTTGACTTGTATGCTCTGAATGTTGGGTCATGAGACCCATGTTTGTTTTATCTGGCTCCTCGGAGCCTAGTGGATAAATACTTTGAGTCGTAGAGTTTTGTTGTGATGCCATGTTGTATTTACACATATCGAGCATATTGTGTGTATGCTTGAAATGCTTGGTATGTGTGGGATCCGACAACCTAGTTGTTTATCCTTGGTAGCCTCTCTTACGGGGAAATGTAGTCTTGTGCTTCCATGAGCCATAGTAGTCCGCTACAGCCCGGTTTACCGGAGTCCTGCTATCCCAGCACTACTGCTCCGGAACACTTGACTGGCCGGCATGTGATTCACTTCGTTCCTGTGTCTGTCCCTTCAGGGAAATGTCACGTCACGCGGTGACATCCGGAGTCCTGCCTAGCCTGCTACAGCCCGGGTTCCCGGAATCCTGTTAGCCTAGTTGCTACATCCCGGATTCACACGCTGCTCACCGACATGCTCGATGTTGATTCATGTATGCCTGTCCCCGTAAGTTAGTGCCACTTTGGGTTCATGACTAGTCATGTCGGCCCGGGTTCTTTGTCATATGGATGCTAGCGATACTATCATATACGTGAGCCAAAAGGCGCAAACGGTCCCGAGCCATGGTAAGGCAACACCCGTGGGAATACCGTGCGTGAGGCCGCAAAGTGATATGATGTGTTACCGGCTAGATCGATGTGACTTGGAATCGGGGTCCTGACAACATGTTCCTCTGATTATGAGATTATGCAACTCCCGAATACCGAGGAACACCTTCTGTGCTATCAAACATCACAACGTAGATGCTCTACAGGTGTCTCCGATGGTGTTTGTTGAGTTGGCATAGATCAAGATTAGGATTTGTCACTCTGTGTATCGCAGAGGTATCTTTGGGCCCTCTCAGTAATGCACATCACTATGAGCCTTGCAAGCAATGTGACTAATGAGTTAGTTACGGGATGATGCATTACGGAACGAGTAAAGAGACTTGCCGGTGACGAGATGGAACTAGGTATGATGATACCGACGATCAAATCTCGGGCAAGTAACATACCGATGACAAAGGGAACAACGTATGTTGTTGTGCAGTTTGACCAATAAAGATCTTCATAGAATATGCAGGAGCCAATATGAGCATCTAGGTTCCGCTATTGGTTATTGACCAGAGATGTGTGTCTGTCATGTCTACATAGTTCTCGAACCCATAGGGTCCGCATGATTAATGTTCGATGACAATTTATATTATGAGTTATGTGATTTGATGACCGAAGATTGTTCGGAGTCCCGAATGAGATCACGAACATGACGAGGAGTCTCTAAATGGTCGAGAGGTAAAGATTCATATATTGAAAGGTTGCATTCGGATACCGGAATGGTTTCGGGAAGATTCAGATAAGTTTCGGAGTATCGGGGGTTATCGGAACCCCCCCACCGGGAAGTTATCGGGCCAACATGGGCCTTAGTGGAGAAGAGAGAGGACCGACCAGGAGGTGGCGCCCCCACCCCTTGCCAATCCAAATTGGACAAGGGGTGCGGCGGCGCCCCTCCTTCCCTCTCCTACTCCTTCTCTCTTTCCCCCTTTTGCTATTCTGGAAAAGGAAAAAGGAGAGGGAATCCTACTAGGACTAGGGAGTCTTAATAGGACACCCACAGCTGGTGCGCCTCCTCCCTGGCAGCCGGCCTCCCCCCTCCTATATATACGTGAGAGGGGGGCACTCCAAATACACACCAAGTCTTCTCTTAGCCATGTGCGGTGCCCTCCCTCCACAGTTACACACCTCGGTCATATCGTTGTAGTGCTTAGGCGAAGCCCTGCGCTGGTAACTTCATAATCACCATCAACACGTCGTCGTGCTAACAAAATGATCAAGAGCTCGAGGGATGTCATCGTGCTGAATGTGTGCTGAACACGGAGGTGCCATACGTTCGGTGCTAGGATCGGTTGGATCGCGAAGACGTTCGACTACATCAACCGCGTTACTAAACGCTTTCGCTTTCGGTCTATGAGGGTACGTGGACACACTCTCCCCTCTTGTTGCTATGCATCTCCTAGATAGATCCTGCGTGATCGTAGGAATTTTTTTGAAATACTGCGTTCCCCAACATTGGCATCCGAGCCAGGTCTATGCGTAGATGTTATATGCACGAGTAGAACACAAAGAGTTGTGGGCGATAATAGTCATACTGCTTACCAGCAACGTCTTACTTTGATTCGGCGGTATTGTTCGATGAAGCGGCCCGCACCGACATTACATGAGACCGTGTTCATGAGACTGGTTCTACC